GATCCCATTATAGGTGGACCCATCTCTAATAATATTCAAGTAGAGGTGGATCCATATGTAATAGGATTTGGTTAGAGGTGATCCATGTGTAGCAAGATTCTATTAAAAGGTGGACCCATCTCTGTTAGGATTCTATTTGGAGCGGATCGATCTGTAATAGACTGTCAGTTGAGATGGGCCCATCTCTCATAGGATTCCATCAAGTGTGGATCCGGCTGTAGTCGGATTCCATTAGAGATGGATCCATCTGTACCAGGATTCTAGTAGATGTGGATCCATCTGTAATAGGATTCCATCAGAGGTGGACCCATCTGTATCAGGATTCTGGTAGGATTGAATTGGGGGTGGACCCGTTTGTATTACGATCCTATTAGAGGTAGATCCATATGTAATAGTATTCTATTAGAGGTGGATTCATGTCATGTAGGACCCCATCAGAGGTAGGTGGGCCCATCCCTAATAGGATTCTCTCAGAGGTGGACCCATATGTAGTAGGATTATATTACAGGTGGGTCCATCTGTCATAGGGATCTGTTGGATATGGACCCATCCGCACTAGGATTCCATTAGATCCATCTCTAATCAGATACTACTAGAGGCGGGTCCATCCTTAATAGGATCCCATTCGAGGTGGATCCATTTGCCACAGGATTCTGTTAGAGGTGGACCAATCTCTAATAGCATGCCATTGGGGATGGAACCATCTTATTAGGATTCTATTAGAGGTGGATCCATTTGTAATTGGAGTCCATTAGAGGTGTATCCATGTCTAATTTGGTTTTATCAGAGGTGGACCCATCGTTAATAGAATTATATTCGAGGTGGACGCATATGTAATGGGGTTCTATCAGACGTGGGTTCATTTGTAAAAGGATTCTATAAGAGGTGGGTCCATCCGTACCAGGATTCCATTCGAGGTGGATCCATCTCTGATGTGATGCCATTAGTTGTGGACCCATCTCTAATGGGATTCGGATTCTATTAGAGGCGGATCCATATGTCAAAAGATTATATTTAAGGTGGTTCCATCTGTAGTGGGATCTTATCAGGGGTGGATCCATTCCTAATCGGATTCTATGGAAGGTAGATCCATATGTAATAGGATTCTCTCGGAAGTGGATCCATCTGTAGTACGATTATATGAGAGGTGGGTGTCTTTTGTGATGACGATGATGATGATGACGAGCATGTGTTTCAAGATGCTGCTGACGATGATGATGATGACGAGCATGTGTTTCAAGATGTTGCTGACGATGATGGTGATGACGAGCATGTGTTTCAATGCGCTGCTGATGACGATGGTGATGACAAGCATGTGTTTCAATATGCTGCTGATGACGATGGTGTTGACGAGCATGTGTTTCAAGATGCTGCTGATGACGATGGTGCTGACCAGCATGTGTTTCAAGATGCGGCTGATGACGATGATGATGATGATGACGAGTATGTGTCTCAAGATGCTGCCCATGACGATGGTAACGACGAGCATGTGTTTCAAGATGCTGCTGATGACGATCATGATGATGAGTATGTGTTTCAAGATTCTGCTGATGACGATGGTGATGACGAGCATGCGTTTCAAGATGTTGCTGATGATGATGGTGATGACGAGATGCGTTGGGAGCAACGCGTTGTCATAATGAGTTCCACAGAGCATAATCGAGTGGGAAGCACAGCCCACCAGACTAAAGTTATCCTCTCTTTACCCTTCTTCCTCCTCCTCCTCCGCCTCCACCGCCGTCTCTTCCTCCTCACCCCTCTTACTTCCAGTGGGTGAGCGCCGAAGCGCGTTCCAGAGATATTAATAAGCCTTAATATCTCGATTCTCCGGCCTGCCCGAAACAAACAATATTAGCGGATTACAAATTGATTTCTTTTGTTGTTGGATTACAAAAGGGAATCCTTTGGTGGTGAACTACAAATTGTTTTATTTTGTGGCAGATTACAAAAGGATTCCTTTTGTGGAGAATTACAAAAGGACTTCTTTTGTGGAGGATCACATGATGATTCTTTTTTGTGGCGGATTACAAAAGGATTCCTTTTGTGGAGGATTACAAAAGGATTCCTTTTGTGGAGGATTACAAAGGGATTCCCCTTGATGGACGAATACAATGGGATTCCTTTTGTGGAGGATTACAAGTTGATTTCCTTTGAAGGCTCTCCTGGAAGTGAACCAGGGGACAAAAGAAAAAAGAAAAAAAAACGAAAATCATTGAAAATTGTGAAAATTGAAGGTTTTCAATGAATTTCCAATGTTTTGAAGCAAAAACATATAAAAACACAGCATTTCCAAGGTTTTGAGGCCCAAACCATATGAAAACACAGCATTTTTGTATTCGGATTGTGAAAATGTTGTGGGACATTCGCGCACTCTGGGGCCTCCCGCTCCTCTGGGAACCCCGGGCCCACGCTTCAGCGCTGCCCGCTCTGGCGGCACCGCCCGCGGGCGGCGGGGGCTCGCCGCGCGAGGAGGGGGGGGGCGGGCCCGCGGCCCGCCCGC